CCTCCCGCGAGTTAACGCATAGATTGTCTCCATAGTTGTACGGTAGCTATGCAGCGAAGTGGAGTCACAACCAAACACTTAAGTTTTGAAATAGGTAACATATACGGGATAATTGCTCAAAATTCAGATAGCCCACGACGGCTTCCGCCCAGTTTGGGACTCATCGGATAAACGTTGCACCCAGTGGCTAAGACAATCAACTCGTAACCTGAACGGTGGTCAGGCAGCAAGAGAATTTTACAGCTGAATGTTTGTTTATTATTGCTGTTGACTTGAACCCAAGATAACTCAGTGGTTAAGGCACTAAGTTACGGATAGGAAGCCTCGAACTCAACTGCAGGATCTCGAATTCACCTGCATTGTCTCAACCCTCATGCCTGTTTCAGGTGGTACGTCACTGGAAGCATGTTACAGCAAAACTCTGTTATTGTTGACTTGAACGGCGGTTTGGTTGAAGGCATAGTTGCGAGCTCATGTGTGACAGAGTTTTATCACGTATTTGAGCTTAAAACTAGACCTCTGCTTGACTTTGTTCCATTCCAGGATTCCTGGCCTCTTGGATTGTACATTCCTATGAAGCTAGCAATGTCAAAGTTGAACATGAACGACGGTGGACAACGGACTTCACGAGCCGCTATTCTCGTGAGAAAACTTTTGGATAGATCCTTGTGAACTGTCAGGGCGGAATCTATCTCAAAGGACGCGAAGCACTGATATAAATTTTGAGGCTTTCTCTCTATCGAACTATACCCAGGGTCAACTGCTACCTGGAGTCGTGGAAAGTGACGAATTTCGGTCAGCCGTACACATTGCGGTGCTGAAAATACTGGCACAATGTAAGGCTGTGATCAGTGCGTCATTTGTGTGATCGAAATACGCTTGATCCCCTCAAAATAGCGTCTCATTTACCGGAGTTAGGTGTCTCATTATCAGGGATGCTAGTGTTCGTGTGACAGGTAAAACCTATGTTTCGGTGGTGAAACGATCACCTCGGGAATCTTTATTTTGAACGGAGATACGATAAGTGATATCGTTCAGCTGTAGC